CCGGGCCTCGCTTCGGAGGTGGGGGGAAGACCAGCGAGGCCCAGGCGGCTACCGCCGGCCCTCGGTTCCGAGCCACAGGGGGGGGACTGGCGAGGCCCGGCGGCTGCAAGCCACCGAACCTTGCTTCGGAGCGGGGGGAGATCGAGCCGGGGGGTGGAGGAGACGGGGCAACCGGCGGGATGGGGGGAACTTACCTCCTCCTGCTGCTTCCTCCTCTTCCTCATAGGTGTGGAGCTCCCTCCCCCCTCCCACGAGTATCACGGGTCCCGCCCCTTGTTTACTATATTTACCGTACAGTAAGCCTGGTGGATTGAGCACTCTTCGTGCAGGGTGTTTGGGACTGGTGTGGTGGAGACCAAGCCAGTGTTTTCCCAAACACTCCAGTTCACTTTATTTGAGTAACTGCTGACTCTTTTAGTTTCCAGAAGGCTGACACCCTCTTACCAGTATCCAAAACCCCTTCTCTTGGAACACCAGTACTTTTCTTGAGTTGTTAACTGACTTTTAAGGTCTCTACAGGCAGTTTGAATTACACCAGACCAGGGATCTCTGTACTTCTCAGAAATAACTCTCCTTGTTTGACTGGGTAGGGAATCTTCTTCTCTCTCTAGAAGATCGATCCCCTTTCTTTTGGCCTGAATGGGAGTCTTCTCTACTACCCCAAATCTGCTTGCCAGACTTTCCCCCAGCTTTCTGTCTGTGTTCAAACTGCTCTTAGCCAATGCTGAATTCAGACTGAATTCAGTCAAGGTTGAAACCTGTCAGCACTAAACCCTGTTTATGTCAGGGCTATTCACAGATGGTCTCAGTCCCTGTCTCTCCTCAATTAAGGCAGGAATCTGACTGAATCTCCTCAGCATCCAGCTCTCTCAAAACTTTTTTCCCTCAGCTGATGCCAACCAATCAGATTGCTTAGAGCACTCTGTCCCTCAAGGCTCTCTAGTTCTGTGAAAACGTAACCCTTCACAGTTCTTTAGTTGTTGGTACAGCACTCCTAAGCCTCTTAAAAGTACAGTCCATCACACCCCACTTAACCATTCATTTGCAACATTCAATGATCTATAAAATGTTATTTAAGAACCACACAGTTATATTTTGTGGAAACAATGAACTCTATGCTTATTATCATTAAGAAAAATAACTGTGTAAGATTTCTGGGGAATACAGAGAGTTGAAAAACATCAAAAGGTGTCAGCTAGGCCGCTGGCATAGGTGGTGGAGGGGGGGGGAGAAGCTGATGGATAGTCTGTTGCTGTAATGGAATCTTAGCTTTCGTTTCTTCCTGTCTCGCCTTATCTGCTAGCTTAGGCCGGTGACCTTGATACCTTGCTGCTGCTTTCGCTGGGAATGCAAACCCGTTAGCTTAGGCGGGCTGTAGCTTATTCCCTGATTGGCTCAGACCCATCAGGGGGACCCCTTTGAATTCTGTATAACTCCCCACTTTGCGCACTTGCAATCTGTTCTGACACAGAGCGTGTGCACAGATGACCTGCCTTTACTGTCTCAATAAACTTGAACCTTTCTGAAGGAGTGTTGTCGAGAGCTGATTGCTGCGGGACTCTGACGGAAGGGAAGGCACTTCCAAGCTTACCACAAAATAGAGTTGTTTTACTGTGGCAGACTATTTCGCTGTACGCCAATTTTTATCTCTGGAGAAAAAGCTGAGACAAACTTTGCTAGCCTTTCAAAACATTTGTAAGCGGTTTTGTGTCTTTGTTTCCTACACTTTACTGCATATAAATTAAAAGGTAAAAGTTCCCTTGCTCGAAAGCCAGTCGAGTCCGACTCTAGGGTTGCGGTGCTCATCTCCGTTTCAAAGCCGAAGAGCCAGCGCTGTCCGAAGATGTTTCCGTGGTCATGTGGCCGGCATGACTAAACACCAAGGCGCGCGGAACGCTGTTACCTTCCCACCAAAGTGGTACCTATTTATCTACTTGCAATTTCTTGCTTTCGAACTGCTAGGTTGGCAGGAGCTGGAACTAGAGACGGGAGCTCACTCCCTCATGCGGCACCCAGGTCTCGAACTGCTGAACTACTGACCTTCCACAGCCTGCAGTTCAGCGTCTTAACCACTTTAGCCACCGCAGCTCCCAGCTTATAAATTACACAGGTGGAAACTGTGTGTTATAAAGTTACCAGAATGTCTCCCCCCTCTTCTTAAAAAACAAAGTAGAGAAAGCACAACTGCTTAATCTCTTGCCCTTCACAGCTGTCTTACCACCCCACGCTCCTTTTCCCACGATCTTACAGCATCTCTCTCTTATAATAAAGCAGTAGTGGGGACCAACGTTCTAAAATGCCCGCCTTTAGTGTTTGGCCGGAAGAACTGCCACTCAGAAGACACTGGCTGGGTTGACTGGCTGCTTTGTGCAGTCCCGCCCAGCGTTTCAAGGTCTTTTGCATATGGAAGCTGATTGGACTTCACTCCATTCCACACCTCAAACTCCCCCCCCCGCAAGGCAGTTGGAATTTTCAGTTGCATATGGGAACTACTGTATTCTGAGGTAACATATGTCCTCACTCACAACACATCACTTCCCCTTTAAAAGAAACAAACCCAATAACACAATCACGCCACACCACAAAGAAGACAGATCACACCACAAGCAGAATACCTCAAGGCAAAAAATGATAGGAAAAGGTGCCAGCAGTCACCCCATTACTGCCACAGATGGTGTGCAGGTCCCAGGTTCATGTTTTAAAAGCTGCCTGGGGGACTATGGACCATTCACACACTTTCAACCATAACATACCTCATAGGGTAGTTGTGCGAATCATACGGGGGAGAGGAGAATGATGTCAGCTGCTTTGGTTCCCACTGCAGGGAAAGACTGCCCTTTCCCTAGGCAGAGGCTGGGGGG